AAGAAGAGGGAGTCAGTCGATCATCTGTCAGTCAGTCCTTCAGTCAGTCAAACAGTCAGCAGCCTCTGCTGGATTTACGCGAGAAGAGCAGGTGCAAATGGCACTCGCAAGAGAAAGTTGAGATCTCAAAAATTTGAGAAAACAAAAACTGCAAAAGAATGGCTCCTGGGGCATATTTGGTGGTCTCCAGAAATGTATATAGTGGTACATTTTCAGTATGAGCCCAGGTTGTATTTAATGATTCAGTATCATTTTACACATGTTCTAATGAACTTACTATAGTAAAAGCATAAACAATCCCATTTATAACACAATGGAGATCAATGCTGAAAACACTAGTCAAGCTGCTCTTGGCTTGATTTGCTGGTCGATGTCTTGTGCATTGTCCTCTATCTGTTAAGTAGCAGCATTTACATTTTAAAAATCTGATTCATTTACAACAATTGATTTTAGTTGGCTTTTTTGTAGCTCCTCAATTAAACAATTAAACAAATGGCTATGTTAAATATGATGATCTCCGTCAAAATCATTTATTCCAATCAACTCCCCATCATTCTCTCTCTCATTTCAGATAGGATTGGGTGCCAAACCAAAGGTTTCCATGGGCGAACTTTGCACCGCGGGTAATAGTAGTTGAACGGTTTTCTGCCGTTTATTATTCCCTGACATTTCTCTCATAGCCTGAATTGGAAGTTCTAAAACAAAAACAAGCACACTTCTGCATCACAAAATGAGGTCAATATCTAGAAATGGCATGTTAATGCATTTCTGCTTCAATCAATCAACCAAATAATCAATCAATCAGTCAGTCAGTCAGAGTCAGTCAGTCAGTCAGTCAGAGTCAGTCAGTCAGTCAGTCAGTCAGTCAGTCAGTCAGTCAGTCAGTCAGTCAGAGTCAGTCAGTCAGTCAGAGTCAGTCAGTCAGTCAGTCAGAGTCAGTCAGTCAATTCATCAACCAAATAATCAATCAATCAGTCAGTCAGTCAGAGTCAGTCAGTCAGTCAGTCAGAGTCAGTCAGTCAGTCAGTCAGTCAGTCAGTCAGTCAGTCAGTCAGTCAGTCAGTCAGTCAGTCAGAGTCAGTCAGTCAGTCAGTCAGTCAGTCAGTCAGTCAGTCAGTCAGTCAGTCAGAGTCAGTCAGTCAGTCAGAGTCAGTCAGTCAGTCAGTCAGAGTCAGTCAGTCAATTCATCAATCAATAAATCAATCAATAAGAAAGGAAATTTAGACCACAGACCTACAATGTGACAACAATACTGACATACAATACTGACATTTCTTCTCATATTTTTCTTCCTCTGTCATTTGTTTACTAATTTTTATACCTTTCAACTCTCATCTCGTCTGCCCCTCATGTCTCATAACCGTGGAAAGCAGACAGACAGGTAGCAGCGCATAATTGTAGCACCCACACCCATATCAGTTTGGCCTTTACCCACGCACATACTGTACAGTTTGTGCATTTCTGCACACAAACAGGCTGTCTTTCGAAAAGGAGCAAAACCTGCATGAACAAACAGACACTTATGACTTATGCTTTCTGTTGATCTGACTGGAGAATAGCGTGGTAAAATACGCACATTTAGAAATATGCATCTGACTACGCATGCATGCTGAAAGACAGGTAGAGGGAGGCAGGAAAAGCGAAGCCTAAACACTCCTTAGGCTACTGTAAACAAAATACCTGTCCGTTGGTTCAAAGGATTCTAGCCTTTTGTACTCATTCACCTCTCAGTGACACACGCACGCACACACTTGCTGGAATTTGGCAGCTTTGTGGAACGTGCAACAGGCAGAAGAAGGGCGGTTCCAAACGTCTGCGCGCACACACCCCACAGGGTGAGTGAGAGGTTAACTCACCCTACGGCACCCAAATCATCTGCTAACCAAAACTATGCTGAGCGACGCATAACAAGTACGCTTGTGTTATTGTCAGTGCATTAAATCATTTGCATAAAGATGTTTGAACCAAACAAACGCCTGCAAATATACTCTTAACATATATGTGCAAACATGCAAATCACAACTAGGTTGGTTTGTAAAAACTGAAACATAGATTTGGCTATCTTGATGTAAACACACGACAGAATTTGAAAGAAATTTCACAGGCAAAAAAAAAAACACCAATTGTCTTTTGAGGCAGCTCACACAGAAGTCCATTTAAAAGCATGCTGATTCTGATTGCTGACACTGCAAATTTGCATTACTTGAACATAATTTGAGTTCAGATCACCATTTACTCAGTCTTTACTTGTTTCAAACCTTCATTACTTTCTTTCTTCTGTTAAACACTTGATATTCTGAAGAATGCTGAAAACCTGTTACCATTGACACACATATATATATATATATATATATATATATATATATATATATATATATATATATATATGATGAAGTCAGAATTATTAGCCCCCCTGTTTATTTTTCTTTTCTGCAATTTCTGTTTAACGGAGAGTTTTTTAACATATTTATAAACATAATAGTTTTAATAACTCATTTCTAATAACTGACTTACTTTATCTTTGCCATACAGCTTAAAGTGACATTTAAAGGCTTAACTAGGTTAATTAGGTTAACTAGGCAGGTTAGGGTAATAATGCAAGTTATTTTATAGTGATTGTTTTTTCTGTAGACTATCAAATAATATATAGCTTAAAGGGGGTAATAATTTTGTCTTTAAAATGGCGTTTAAAAAATTAAAAACTGCTTTTTATTTTAGCCGAAATAGAACAAATAAAACTTTCTCCAGAAGAAAAAATATTATCAGACATACTGTGAAAATGTCCTTGCTCTGTTCCATTTGGAAAATGTTTGAAAAAGAAATAAAAGTCAAAGAGAGGCTAACAATTCTTAATTCAACTGTATATATATATATATATATATTAGAGCTGCACAATTAATGGAAAAAAGATCGCGATCTCGATTCGACCCCCTAGACGATCTTAATCCAGCATTTCTACTATTCTGTCAATCATATTTTCAAGTTCAGGAGAGAAGAAAAGGCGGCCGCACAAGTCTTTTCATTGTTTCACACATGTTGCTCAGTGACATGGACAACTCCAAATGATGTTGAGTGAGTCACATACTGTATTTATAAGGTAAAATTTAACTAAAAATGTCATTTTTGTCTTCATAAAATGTTTTCGCAGGCGAGAAATCACTCGTGACGTGAGCTGCTGACCATGAGCTGTTATCACAGAGAGGGCGCACGCCACTAATAATAGACGCACGCGCGTCTACTTGAAGTGAATAGAAACTGCATGCACTGTTAACAGATAATACTGTTGTAAATAATATTCAGTTTGTGGTACAAAGTGATCGTTTAAGAGCCGCGCGCGAAGTATGCGCAAGCACTTAGCAGTCAAAATGTAATTGAAAGTGTGCACATCTTTAAAATAATCATATCGTAATTTAGAGTTCTGATTACGACAAGCATTTGATATGTTATTTCTTTTATAACGAACAGAGTTGTGCATGAAAATAAATATTTACAATGTCAGTATAACTACTCTAGCCTTTAATGTTGAATATAATCTGATAATGACAAATTTTTACAGGCAAATATGTCAAACATAATATTTCAACATCAGAATTAATATAAGTAGAATAGAACTAATAATAGAAACCAGTAGACCTACACATAATATTATTATTGATGTTTTGCCGTATGTTTGTTTTTACCATACCTTTATTTTACATCTGTAGAATCGTGAGAAAATTGTGATCTTTATTTTAAGCCAGAAATTTGCGATTCTCATTTTAGCCAGAATCGTGCAGCTCTAATATATATATATATATATATATATATATATATATATATATAAACTGTTTATATACAGTATATATATACACAGTATATATATATATATATTACAGTTATACAGTTGAATTTCGGTCATGAGATCGTAGCATTTAAAAGAAACTCTAGACGCATGCACTTGATCACTGTTACTCTGATGAAGGCAGCTCTCTGTCGAAATTTTTAAAGATTAGTTATATGAATAAAGGTTTTTTAATATTTTTTTCACATCTTTTGAGTGTCTGATTTTTCTGTTCATCTGATTCAGGACTGATTTTTGTTGGTCTATGTCCGAGTTTCTGAACGAATTATAACTATTTAATCTATATTAATTTATCTCTCTCTCTCTCTCTCTCTCTCTCTCTCTCTCTCTCTATATATATATATATATATATATATATATATATATATATATATATATATATATATATATATATACACATACATTATTTTTATTATAATTATTATTATTATTACTTAATTTGGGCTTTAATTTATTACAGCTAAGATTTGAAAAAAAAGAATAAATGAATAAATAAATAAATGAATAAATAAATAAATAAATAACAACAGTTAAATGTTGTTAAAGCTATAATCGTACATGAATGAATGAATGAATGGTTTGTTCAATGTGCAAACAACAATCTAATTTTCCTAAAGCTTTTTGCTATCCTCATGATCTTGCCCCCAGGCCTATATTGGTCCTGCCTTCAGTGAACACATTCCTCTCTCCAAGCTCTGATAGCAAATGTCTCACATCCTCTATTATCATTAGAGTACAATTATCTCAGCACAGCGGGTACAGTGTGCCCTACATCTCAAAGCCACTGACATGCACCCACAGCGGCCAAGGCAGAGTGTGTTCTTATTTTAATTTCAGACCGTGACAAGATATATAATGACTGTCATGCTCAGCGTGTCAGCGATCTGCCCGAATCTTCTCCAAATTTCTCAGAACAAACATACACAAACACACACACACACACACACACACACACACACACACACACACACACACACACACACACACACACACACACACACACACACACACACACACACACAGACAAACACATCCCAAATTCCGCTAAATAAATGCACATTCCATTACCCGACACAGATCAGAAAGGAACAAAAGTTTTCTAAAGCAGGACAGAGATTGCAACAATGCTTGTTTTGTGTGTGTGTATGTGTTTAATTACCTGCGTCAGCACTGATGCAACTCTGCTGTATCAGTGCTTTGCTGTTGTCCCAAGTCTCCAGGAAGTGAGTTAACTGGTTCTTTACAGTCGTCATCTCCCCTCGAGAAAACTGCAGCAGAGCCAGAGTCTTCCTGAGAAGCCTCTGCTGCTGCACAGACTTGGATCTGATACAAACACAAACAAAAAAGGATTATTCAGTATGCACTCGTTAGAACTCGTTAGTATTTCTTTGCCGCACTTTATTTTAATGTACAGTTCATGTTATTAGCAAATCATTAACAAACTATTAACTAAGACTTTTAGCTCAATAAACTAATAATTAGCTGCTTATTAATATTAAGTAATGCAGTAGGTATTGAGAAGGATTAGGGATGTAAAATAAGATCATACTTCATAAGTGCTAATAAACAGTTCATATCTTATTTATATGCAGGTGATAAGAAGTAGCCAGTATTAAACAGTGTGAATTGCTACTTAAAGTGTTAGACGTTTCTACACTGCTTTAGAGCATTTTAGATCAGCCGACTCCATGTACTACATAAATCCAATGGGTCAGCTGTCTCACAATGCAACCTCAGTCTAAAGAAGGACGCAATACAAAACAGTTTTAAGAGAAATACATTTAAAGAGGAACCAAGAAGTAACTGTAAAAGAACAAGTGATTAGACAAGACAAACATTAGGCAAAAAGATTTTTGAGTTTTGAAGAGAGAAGAAATTGAAAGAAATAAGATGAGATAATAAATGAATGTAACTATATAGTAATATTTAGAAGAAAAAAAAGGAGACTAAAATGGATGTAACTCAGATGAGAAAAGATGAGATGTAGGATGTGAAATCACTTCCATTTGATTGTAAACTATAAGATATAACGAATAAATGCACTCAAATTGACCCAGATATCAAAGTAATTCATGAGAATTAACTGAGATGATACATCCAAAAAATGATTTTGAGATATTGAGCTTTAAAGTGTTTGCATTCCATAGCAAACAGTATGTGTGTAACATTTTTTTTAAAGTCTTAAAATGTAAACAATTTATAAAAAAAAAATTAAAAATCCCATAATGTAAATAAGTTCTCATTTAATAAGAATATGTGAATATCTCAATTTTGACAAAAATGTAAGATAAAACCTTATAATTCTAACGCCCCATTCACACAGGGCTTCAGCGTCAATGATTGACAGAGGGTGTGTCTGAAGTTGGGGCTGACGCGATCATCATAGCAGCGTCAGCCAATGACATTAGTCAGCTATAGGCCACTGTCTGAGCTGATGTATTTGCATACAGCAATCTGATTGGCTGACGCTTCTGTCGGCCCTTGAAAAGTTGAGCAAGTTCCAACTTTTGCAGCAAGCAACGCCTCTGAAGTGACGCCGACGGATCCACAATGCAGTTCGGCAACGTCTTACCTCACCTATTCTAAGTAAATGGGAAGCGTTGAAGCTATGTTCAACAAGAAACATGTTTATCTAAGAAACATCTTTATCTCTAAAGCGCATGGCGCAAAAGCATTAAGGGCATGTCCGAATCCAATTTTGCTATTTTAAGGACCGAATAAACATGCCACACAGCGCCATGCATTTTAGAATTCTAAACATAGGTTTCTATCAGGGTACACACACCAGTGCTGCAAGTTGGCAGCTGTTCACGGCCCCAGTCATGACTAAGGACACTGTTCATATTTCTGCCACGCCACAGAGAGCCATCTGATTAGTTTAATTTTAATAAGCATACGAATGTGTGCGTCTGATGTGCGTTACTTTCAACTGTCATACGATGTGTGACGCCCTTCAGAGTCAGTTGCATTGAGCCATGGTGCATTTGCTATATATTTGCCAGACTTTGTGAGTGGAAAAACTGAATGGACAAACTGAATGCTTCACTAGCGAGAAAACAGTAAACAGACCATCTGCAGCGAGGATAAAGAATTAGCCTCCACCAATCAGCTTATTTACTTTCTTTTTACTTTTACTCTTCACTTTTCTTTACTTTTGCTAAAAAGCACTCCACTTAAGACATCCTTTAGCCTAAATATTTAATTTAGTTTGTTAAGCACAAAGATTCAAAGTTTCAAAACTATTTCTAAATTCAGTTCTAATTTCCAGCAAATTTCTAACTAAACAATAATAACGAGTTATATCCAAACACACATCGTATTCTAATGCCCCATTGTGATGCATACATCTCCAAAACTTGACAGGTGGACAAATCTAAACTTGTTTTTATTAAAAACAAATATGAATATGCATATAATATATAATCTTGCCAATAATAACAACATTATAATTTAAAATGCAAATTGTCATGAATAAACTGAGAAAAGCCCCCCGGACATAAAGAAGGCATGGAGGTAGTGTTTTTTATAATTATGTAAAAAAAAAAAAAGTTTTTCTAACATTTTAATCCTTTATGTTTTTTTTGTTTTTTTTTTTCATATGTAAAGATATTTGTGTATTGCGGTAAATCATATGTGTATTAACCATTTGAACCTGCATAGGCACATAACTAACGCTTTCTGCACTGGACTTTAGACCAGCTTTTACTTGGTCGGTGACGCAGTCTATTTCAACACACCACCTTTTTAGACCGACACACCCATGAGTCCACAAAGTAGCGCAAATGGATTTGTTATTTAAACAGTGTAGCTTAAAACGTGAAAAACTAGGGTTGCGCTTGACTGAAAATAGCAACAAATTGCACCAAACACATCTTGAGTGTATGATATTGTCAAAATCGCAAGCGATCTAATCCTTACAGATCGCTGGTAAACACAGATCACACATAACTACAAATCTGCCATTATATGGACTACAAGTTCCAGTCATGCACCATACACACTCACACCGGTTCCTGATCCTGACTGATTGCTCACACACACAGCCGGAGGATTGTCAAAGACTGATTACTAGGACTTTATATTCAGCCAAACACACACATCTGGGCTGAGTGTTGTTGTTATAGGGTCATTGTGAACATTTCCCCTGCCTTGCAATGACTTGTTTTTGACCCTCGACTTGTTTGTTTGTTTACATTGACTGCTGCGTGCTTGTACAGACCATTCGCCTGTTATTTGACTACGACTACGTATGATTACGGATTTCCTGTGTACATCTGCTCGCCCCTGTGTTGACTGTTGCCTGCATGACCATTCTCTGATCAGTAAACCTGCGTTTGGATTCGCACCTCCCTTGTCAGTGTCCACATCACATAACAGATATTGCCCATTTACTTTTTGGCTGAAATACAACTTTATATAATGATAATAATAATAATAATAATAATAATTGCTTATATTTATAAAGCGCTTTTCTTAAAGTGCAATGGGAGGATCTCTGCATCCACCACTAGTGTGCAACATTCACCTGGATGACGCGACGGCAGCCATATTGCTTCAGACCGCACACCACACACCAGCTGATTGGTGTCAAGGAGACCATATATTATATGGGTATGGTTAGGAGGCCATGATGGACAGAGGCCAATGGGCAAATTTGGCCAGAATGCAAGGGTTACCCCCACTCTTTTTCGAAGGACATCCTGGGATTTTTAATGATCACAGAGAGTCAGGACCTCGGTTTAACATCTCATCCAAAAGATGGATATCTAGCAATCTTTTTGAATAATAAAAAAATATATTATTTTTTAAACTCTGGCTGTGAGAAAAAAATGAGGAAATACATTATTAAAAAAGAGACATACATAAAAGCATACATAAGCTAAATGTTTATTTTGATGAGAAGTGACTAGACAGGAAGAGACAAGATTCTAAAATATCAGGAAATAAGACAATAAAGGACTTTGAGTTAGATAATAAGTAATTTTTTTACATGAATTAGTTGGCACAATCTAGACTGATTACAAAAAAATCATTGTTGATTCAACGCTCAATCATTGGCGTGTTGTTTGCCTGAGTTTTGATCCACTAAACCGAATCAAGTCCTCGAACACAAAGCTCTAAATAGTCAAGAACACAGACGTAAGCCTAGATAAACAAAGTTTACACTTCACGCGTGGGTGGGATATTTGTACTCCTGTTCAGTTTAAGCTGTGTCTCATTTGTTATGAGTTCACATTTTTACATAATCCATGAGCGAGTTGAAGGTAAACACATTTGGTAAGCAGCTGTTTATACAGTAAACGGTGATGTTCTGAAGGACAGGATTAGATGAACATGCTCCTGCTCAACCTCCTTTTAGTACATCATTCATTTTCTATGGGATGATCTGTGTCTCTTTGGGTTTGGCCTCTTGTAGTTTGTGGCTGGGTGTCAGCACCGGCAGTGTTCAGCAAAGGGATTTAATGAGGTTTGCACAGTGTCGATACGACTGTTCTGCTGCTGCCCTCTCATTCCCACCAGCATTACATCATCATCATGAGACAGCAGCAGATAAGAGTTGCCAGAAGTCTCAATGTGGATAAACAGGACGCCAACTCCACACACACACACACACACACACACACACACACATGTATGAAATCTCACAGCGACCACACAGCATATGCGTATCCATCCCCCAATCCTAGCCTGTCACCACGTAAACAAACATACACAAGCACACACTCATCCACTTGTCTAGAAGTCATGGCAACGGGTAAACATGGCAGTGTAGGGGTGAGACATGGAGACAGACAGACAGTAAAAGAGAGAGAGCAATAGAGCGACACAGTGGGAGAGAATCTCAGGAATTAATTTTTCATAACAAGGAACCAACACTGGAAAAGGGGGAAAACTGGGTGATGACAGAGGAGTGGAGAAAAGAAGATTAGAAAAGAATTGCCATTAAAAAGACAAAATGAAAAAGACGGCAGGAAGGGACGAATGATTAAAGAATAGGAAATTAAACAAGATCAGAAGATGGGAGATAAAACATGGTGAGATGAAACAAAGGGATGAAATGTGGGGACAAAAGATGAGAGCAAAACATGGTGTCAAAGAAGACAGGAAATAGTTAGATCTTCACACTGTGCTCAAAGAGTTAGTTCAGCACAAAATGAAAATGCTGTTATTTGTAAATGCACAACCTCATGACATTTCAATCTCCCGAGATCTTTGTTCATCTTTAAAACACAAATTAAGATTTAAAAAATTCAATGAAATACTGATTCAAAGTCCTAAATCATTGACCAAACAGCCCATGTGTGTTTAATTGGAACAGTGTG